GCCTATCCATGCTCCCACCCTGCCTCCCATGTTTGTCAAACCCCTGAAAACGTTTGCAGTGGCAAACTTGAGCGCTAGGAGCCAGGGAAACACCTAGTAATGGGGAGCAGGAAATCTGTCCAGTCTTGCAGCGTGTCTGGATAGGTGGAGGTTTTTCATGGCCTACTGGTCTCCTGTTTTCTGCACAGTCACCCAGAATCCACTTCCTTTGCCCGGTTTGATGCCCATGACAGCATCCTGGACCATTTAGCTTAACCACACATCTATCTCATTACCCATCCCCAAAATTAGCATGGAAAACAAATGCCACCTCACCAGAGCCCAGTGCTTAACTGCAGTCTCACTCCCTACCTCAATTCAAATTTCACGCTCTGCTGCAAGCTGACAAGATAATTGTTAGATAATTACACAGTCTTCGTTTCCAACTGCAGCAAAGATGCAGCAGTGAGAACGTACAAGTTTGATAAGAATTACATGTTTGTCCGCTTTTCAAATATTATTCAGCTGGCCTGTATACTACCAAATACGTACCTGCTGGAAAGAAACAATGGCTGGAAAATGGCTGAGCTCTGTTTGCTCCTCTTGTTAATGTCATTAGCACTTGGGTTTGGAATAATAGAGAATAACGGGATTAGTGGCAGTTGGCACAGAAAGCTGTAGGGCTAAACCGGAGGCCTGGCTTCAGAAGCTCCAGCAATCCAAAGGAGCGCTCTCTGCCCCAGCGCTCCCCTCAGAGACCCACCTTGGGGCACCCAGGGTGGGACAACTGCTGCAGCCACTGGCAGCGGCACACGGCAAGGGGGCAAAAGAAGGATGGGAGAAGTCAGGAGGTTTCACCAGACCTTTGTCAGCCAAACCTCTGGTTGCAAAGAAGGTAATTTCAGCCATTCCTGGCATATTTTTGCACTGTAGATACTGTGGTCCAGGTAGACCTACCTGAATAAACTTTAAAAGCAGCTCAACCCAGGAGCCCAAGCTGTGTTCAGGAGGAGCTATGTGGCCTGCAAAACTTCTGCTGGGAAACTCAGGCTGGCAGGCTGCTATGGCTCTCCTCTGCCAGCACCCAACTGAGCCATTTTGATACTAGTTCTGGTGTGCCTACATGAGGAAACATGCCCTAGGAGAAGGGCTGTTTTTGCACCAAGGTGTTTTTAGGGTGTCTACCACGATGGGACCACAGAGTAGCTCTCTGAGTACAAGCTGGAAGAGGGACCAGTAAGTTCCATCCCTGTTTTGGTCAAGATTTTAGCAATCACTCAGTTATACCTGTAGGGAAGGCAGTCCCTTATATTTACCATAAGACACATTCATTGTTCCCCTGAGGTACTGCTGCAATTCAGAGGGGAAGCATCATATGAGACATCAAATCACCATGAAGCCTTGCCTATGAAAGAGTCCATTCTCTAGCATCCAGGCACTACAGCTGCTCAGGCAGACACAGCATAAAAAAATCAGACTGACCAGAAAAATAATTTTGGTTGCATTCAAAGTCACAAAAAGTGTTTCTGCTTGAATCTAAAATTTCGTTTCTGATCACTGTATAAAAACCTGAAAAAACTACACAGAAATCTCATTTGCCCTTCCAAAAACCTCATAAGAGAAGAATAAATCAATGGACCTACCCCCAGCACTTCAATCACCTCACATAACTCATTTCCTGTTTTGTGACTGTTCAGTGGAAAAAAAACACACACAGAGGAAGAGCCCCAGAAAGGCCTAGGTCTCCAAGGCCTATTTGTATTCCCTGTGAAACTCCATGCTATCATACAATAAGCAAGAGGTTTTCCTTCTTTCATATTTTAATTGCTCTGTATTTTATTTGGTTATGAGCGTTTCCCATCAGGCTGTAAAACACTGAAGCCCAGAACTGTAACACCTGAGCCACCAGCATCTGATTTAATGGTATTACCAAGCGCACTTATATCTCGTCCAGTTTCAGAGCTTGGTGTCTTAAGGCATCCACAGCTGCTGATGCCACAAGGACTTCAAGGCAGAGGGAGATGTTCAGACCAGGGATCCTTAGTTTTCTTCATTCAAGATAAGTGCTGTTAATAAAGACTATCTGGTCTTTGAGGTCCTAACTCTGTTTGCAAATCTGGCTGCTTTTCCCCTTCTCCTACCCAGGTCTCAGTTTCAATGAGAAATCTGCCTTAGTCTGAAACAGGAAATCATTTTACATTTCCTATCCAACTCTACTTAGCACATCAAGAAGCAAGTCTTCAATTAAATAGGGACCATTTCCCTAAAAACTCTAGAACTACCACCACCCAGTGCAAGGTGTCTTTCCTGGATTATTCCTGCTTATTTCAGTTACTTGAATTTTCAGCTAGGGCTAGTAGCTGATGACTGGTTTTGCTAGTTATTGGTTTCATATGAGTTTAAACTCAACTAAACTGATCATCAGTACCTCTCCACTCCTTGAGGGACTCGGAAGTTATCCCAAAAGCATCCAGGCAGTGGAGAGTTTGCCTTGTTGTGCCCCCCACCCCATAAGATAATTTCGCATCCCAACTCCCACATTTGTCTGTGAGGATCCAGAATTGCCAGGCAAGACCAGGGATGGATTTGGGAAATACAGATGGGGAAACCTGAGGAATGGTGTATTCCTGGGAAGGGGTGAAGAACAGAAGAGTACAGATGGGAATGGGCTAGCAGAGGAGGAAGAAATTCAAACCATTAATTTCAGCTTGCAATTGCAGCCAACTATCTTCATTTCAGCTACAGTTTCTAACACGTTTTGCCCATTAGTTAAGATTTGGCATCACGTTGTCCTTTTGGTAACAGCTGCTTGAAAAGATATTTGGATAAAACTTACCAGAGTGAAAGCCTTATTAGACAAAATGCAGCTCTGAGATACTGCGATATGTTTCCCGCTTAGTGCCAGCAGAATAGTGGTAAACACTTTGCTAGGTATTCACACATACTATAGACTATATGGGGCTAGACTTCATTGCATTATGTTATTGAGGCGTTCTGGCCTGTGAGGTGGCCAGATGAGGGCAAGGAGGGTGCTTGGGAACGGTATGCAAAGACCAACAACAAAAAAGCCTACCCTGTCAGATGTGGACAGGGCAAGGAACACACCAAGATAACAGGGAGCTCAGGAATACAGTGTTAAAGTCTCCTATTAAAATGAAATAAATTAGAACACAACCCCAATCTGAAGAAAGGGCATGGGATTGCTTCTGAAAGAAACTCCATCCAGGGGCCTGAATGAACCAGGCAGAAGAGACCTTCTGCCTTCCATGAGACAGAACCCCCTGTGTAAAGCTCCCTCCTCCAGGAGGGACATTTCTCCTGATGGGAAATGGAAAGAAGCAGCTGAAAACCGATGAAACCCAAAAAGCTAAACCTAGCAATGGCTGAGAGGAACACCACACACACAGAAGCGATCTCTAGCAAGGCAAGCTTGCTAGAAGGATTTTACCCACATCTCATCTCTACTGCACAGTGCCACCTCATGCTCCTAAGTGTGGCTAACACATGCACCCAGCAGACCAAACGAGGGCATTTAATTAGCCTGCACTGCCTCAGTAACAGCGTGCTAACACGGCTACTTTGTTCCTGAAACCCCAGTTCAACGTAGGGCATTGGCATTACCTTGAGAGCAGCTCACTCAAAGATAGTACAAACCTCTCAAACACGGTGCTTCATTGTGCTGTGTACAAATGCCTAGAGTCTACTCCTTTAAAGTGACAGGAACTGCTGAAGATATAGGGTAAAAAACAGCCGAGCACTCACAGGAGGTTGCAAATATTCAGCACACCCCAGCTAGTGAACCCAGTATCTAGAATAAGCCATCTAACATACTGAACAATACAAGGCAATTTACAGACCAAGCACACAATTGTATTCAAAGTAAATGCTGAGCAGACTTACACTGTCTCCTACAACAGCTTTCAAACGGTGACCCACAACACGCCAAGAACTTCAAGACGCTCTCCACACTTCCTCCTGTGGTAGGGACTGTGCATTCGAATGCCTTCAGACATTGCCTGTGATACTTTCTACAAGCTACAGTTCAGTGCCTGGTCCCACTGCCTCCTTTTTTCCCCTTCTTCTCCTTTTTGCTTATTTGAAACAAAAGTACATCTCTGCACTAGCTATGCCTGCTGGCTAGACCTCTCCCTTCCCATAAGTTTTTTTTTTAGGGCCAGGACTCTTGCTGAAACAGAAGAGGCAGCGAAAGCACTGAACAGAGCTGTGACAGGGAGAGGATAAAGGGAGAGAGACCTTGCTGTGGGCTATACAGAAGCATTATGTGAAGGGAGGTTCACCTCCACTTCCTCATTCCTAGCCTAATATTACTTGCCCAGACTTGATAGTTTGTCAGTTACTCACAGCCAGTTGGAGGATTTGCTGTAAAAGCAGCTGGACAGTGCAGTTCAGATCCTAAAGAAAGGCCAGTGTCCAGCCTTGAGGGCAATTTTTGGCATTTTAAAGAACAACAAGCCAAAACATCCCATCCACCTTCAGAGAAATGCAAAGCTTTGTTACCTTTAAACTGACTTGATGAGAATTAGGCTAGTATTGGACTACCCCTGCACCAGTCCTAGCTCAGCCTCTTGATAGCCTGGGCTCATCAAGGGTACAATGCACTTCCTGCATCACAAGGAAACAAGGATTTCCCTCCCACACACCCCCACCCCACCCCCACCG